TTAAGTCCTTTGATGAGGGATGAAATCTCATCATTGGATACAGAGATAGGTTCGGAGGCCATAGGGGATGAGTTCCGGCGGCGGACCTCATCCTCCACTGCCTGGACGTGAGAGGGGTCGACGGGTTGAGAACTAGGAGAGCATTGAGCGGCAATGCTATCTGCAAAGCACTCAGCCTTTTCCTCGTCCTCGAAGGCAACCGTGCCGTCGGGACGGGAGAGAGGGGGAGTGTGGTTGATAGCGTCTATGCGGAGGGCTCTAGCCGTCTGATAGTACGCTGTATGAGATGGAGAGATATTCTCCATGAGCTTACTCTTTTCGAGGTCTCGAAATTCAGAGAGGCGGAAGCGGAGTTCTCGTTGAAGACGATTGGCCGCCCGCCTATATTCGGGGGTGGGATATTTTGCTGCTCTCCGGAAAGCAGCTTTTTTTAGCTTTTAATAGGTTGCTAATATGTAGGGGAAGCCCACTATTGTTAGCAACCGGGACGACCCTTTCGTTCTCCTTAAGGGAGGATTTAATAAGGGTGGAGAGTGAATCGACCGCAGTGTCGATTTTTTCGGGACTATCTAAGTCCGACGGTAGGAAGATGGTAGAGTCCTGTGAGTTCAAAGCTTTAGCTAGGGACTCCTTGAATCCCTTCCAGTTAGTGAAGGTTTTCGTGTGTGTTGGGGGAGGTGGCTGATGGCCAAGAATAAGGGAGACCGGTCGGTGATCTGATCCTAGATCGTCTAGTGTCTCGATTGCTCTGAGATTAAGAGAAACTCCTTGGAGTAGCGCAAAATCTAACACATCGGGGGGCGTGTTCGGTGTTATCGGGAAAGTGAGTAACACCGAGAGGACTATGGACGGTAATATCAAGAGACTGCGTGATATCGAGCAGTATCTTGCCACTAGGGGACGTAGTGCGGCATGTCCATTCAGTATGCTTGGAGTTAAAATCTCCAAACATAATGACTGAATTGCCTAAAGATAAAATGGCCTTAAAATCTTTTTTGAGGGGATAGGTTCCTGAAGGGATGTAACAGGAGGCTATGACGATGGACTGATGTCCAGTCATAGCTAGCCTGCATACCGTGGCTTCCATGTTGGTAAGCTGCGGAGTAGAAATGGGCGAGCAATGAAGTGTCTTCTTGTAATAAATGGCCGTTCCGCAGCCTCGGCGGTCGGGTCTGTCGTTACGAAGAAGAGAGAAGTTTTTAATAGAAAGGCCTCTAGTGTCCTTAGCTTTGAGATTAGTTTCCTGTAGGAGGAGGAAATCGACTTCACGTTTCCGAAGAAAGAGCTTAAGCTCTGGGAGGTAATTTCGCAAGCCGCGAATATTAAATGATACAAGCGATAAACCCTTAGGTTTGATACGACCGTGAGATTTAGGTAGAGTGATTTGCTCAGTCATTGAAGTTAAGTTAATTAGTTAACTTAACTTACAACGCTAATAGAAGATTGTTGTATTCTGCAAGAACGAGGAGACGTTCTTGGGGGGACTTCGCCGCGCGCAGTTTGCGTGCTACTACGGTGATGTCCCTAACATCGATATTCCTAATAGCGGAATATAGTGTGTTGTAGTCGTCAGGTGTGGGCTCTGCTTCATGTGCGTACGAGGTTGTCCGCGGTGGGTCTGCCTTTTTTGGGCCTCCAGGGAAAGACTGGAGGCTGCATTGGCTTGGAGAAGCCCGGAGGGGGGCGAATTATGCCATGAGGGGGCCTAGGGGGACCCTGAGAGGGTCGAGAGAAGCCCTGGATGGGCTGAGAAAGGCCTTGACGGGGCCGTTGTTGGAGGGCCGGGAATGAGCGGTCATTCACCGTCGGTGGAGCTTGCCTACTGGGGCGAGGTTGAGGTGCGCGTGGGCAACCCCTGTAGTTAGCCGGATGTCCTGTTTGGTTGCACAGGACACAAGCGGGCGGGGATTCGGCGTCTTTGGGCCGGGGACACTTTTTCGTGTTATGAGGTTCGAGGCACTTAACGCACCTGGGTGGGGCGGAGCAGTTGGCCGCCGCGTGACCATAAAGTTGGCAGCGGTGGCACTGCACCGGGAAACCGCACCTATGTGGGGGCTCGAACTTCACTCTCGACAGGCCACACACTGTGCGTACCTGCCGGAAGATGGCTTTGGCCTCCTCTACGTTGGTAAGGATGATGAGGGCAAGGTTGTATCTCTTGCCCGTCCTACTGTGCATTTTGTGCACTGCTTCTACTGGGAAACCTTGGGACTTAAGGTCCTCAAGGATTTCCTCGTTTGAGAACTCGAAGGGGACGCCTCGGATGACGGCCCTGACTTTGCGCTCTTCAGGGAGAGCGTAGGTGTGGTACGAGACTCGTTCGGCTGTGAATAGTCGGGTGATTTGACGGAAATCCTCGATCGAGCTTGGGATGATTTTGATCGACTCCCCGAGGTTGACGGCATGATCGTACTTTATACCTGCGTTATAGCAGGTTTTTGACAGCTGGGTGAATTTAGCCTTGTCTCTTAGGAAGACAGAGGGCGGGACTTGCTTCTTAGCAAGGACCTGAGCACAACGAGAGGCTGGTTTGGACGGTGTGGGGATGTCTAGTGACATGAGTGGGACGGCGGCAGCGTCGGGGGCTGCTCTGGTTGTAGGAGCGGCAGGGGCCGCTGAGATAGGGGGGTGCGTTTTAAAGCGGCGCGTTTACCGTTGCGCTTGGAGGTGACGGTGGTGAACGTGGACTCTCCGGTTCCGTCTGAGTCAGAGGACTCCGATGAGCCGGAGCCTGAAGTAGTGGCGGGCCTCTTCCGGGAGGTCGGCGCCGAGGACTCGGAGCATGCGTACTCCATTTCTAAGGGGACAGATTCAAGGGGGGCAAAGGAGTTCCTCGTTTCGATACCTCGAAACGAGGAACTCCTTTGCCCCCGGTATCGGTTCCGCCGCCGGTAATCGCGTCTGGTAAGACGCGATTACCGGCGGCGGAACCTGTGTGCCTGCCGGAAGGTGTGCCTGAGGGGCAGGGAGGGGAGCCTGGGCGGCGATGGTGGCGATGGCGGCGAGGACCGTCTCATTGCCATTTAAACCGAAATGGTTAATGAGGGCGGCGAGGGACTCAGTGAAACTGGATGTGGCCCTTTTAGGGTCAGTAAGCTAAGCTAGGTAAAGATGAGGACGGGTCTCTGTTCTCGGTAGAACAGGGACTAGATCAGTTGCGAGAAGTTTGGTACTGTTATCTTATAGTATATTTGCCAAGCGTGGAAATTAAAAAAAAAAACTCCCTAATATATGAGGACCCCCGCTTTCACCGACGATCGTGAGTCAGCAGTCAATTAAGTCACAGTCAATTAACAATTTCATTGCGGCCGGGGGATCCATGCGACAGTTATACCAATTCAGAGCAGTGTTAGTTTAGCGGCTAAGTGTTCGTTGTAATTACATATAAATTATATACATATAAACATTAACATATCATATATAATATGTGAAAAGAATATTAATCATGATGGGCATGAAATTGAAATATCTAAGTAATTTCCACCCTGTGTAACTGATAGTAAAGACTATTCGTATTAAACAAAAAGTAGTTACAGTGTTAAATTTAAAAGAATGTATAATAAATTTATATTGAATAAAACTATATTTACGGACTTTATCGCATTTAATAACTTATTTTAACTTATTTTTAATTCCCGACGTTTCGTGTTCTTGTTCGTGTGTTCCCACGGTCACCGGGGGGGGAGGGGGGGGGACACTGCGATGATTAACGTCCTGATGACGACTCAATTTTAGGTCCGATCTACGCCTACCTTCAGTTTAAATATTCAAAAACTGAAGGTAGCCGGGCTAACTATGACATTGGAATGTCAAATATCTCAGTCTCTCCCCCGTGACCATATGTGCTGTAAAGCACCCGAAACGCCGGGAATTAAAAAAAAAAATAAGTTATTAAACGCGATAAAATCCCTAAATATAGTTTTATTAAATGTATAGTTTTCGCTTAAATTTAATAAATTTATAAATAAATTTATAAAAAAGTATTAAGCAACATTAATTTTAGAAAAATATATTTTGCACGATACGGTTTGCTGAACTGCTTAATGTGCTATTTGATGTTTATAGGTAATTTAACAGCTTGTAAAGATTTATTTTGCAGATTGTCTTAGATTAAAACAGATTTTGTACGTGGTAGAGCCATGCTGCAGTTATATTAGTAGTATAGTTGTAGCACGAATGGGTCGGCTCGACCGGGGAAGGACCACGCTCTCACAGAATACCAGCGTAAAATAGTAGCTTAATGCTGCTGTATTTCGTATGGTGAGTGTAGAGAACCGGAGACCCTTTTTACTGGAAACGAGGCATTCCATCTCAGTCCTCACGGATGACAACGCATCTGCATTTTGATTTTTAATGGAGGATAGATGTAGATGTCTATGGGCCGCAGCAACCACTTACCTTCAGGTGGACTGTGTGCTCGTTTGTCACCCTATTCTATAAAAAAAACAAGATTAGTTTTTTTTTTAATTATGATAATATTATATAACACGTTGACTGCCAGCCCGGTCACCGGTGACCGGACCCCGTCTTGTATCTACGCGCCGTGTTGGTCACCGGTGACCTCGAGACAGACCTGTTTTCGGGCACAATTATTACGCCGGTGGCCACGTTTATCGTACATTTAGTATATGCAAGTGACCGGAGCGGCGCTCTAGATTGTTACTTCAGCGTGGTTTCGGCGTGTCTATGAAATTGTGAGAATTGTGGGACAAAAATGAAGAAAGTGAGTGAAAAAAGGTAACTGTCACAAAAATCAAGGATTTATTTTTATCAATGTGTGAAATATAAGTAAAAAACAAGTAACAAATTATTCTAAAATACAAATTAAACGAAGCGATGGAACTTATTGAAACACATTAAACAAAAATATGGTTCATTTGGACATTCTTTACAAAATGTTGCTACTTTCTTTGTTTTATTTTTGGCTGATTTTGAACCGTACATTGCCACACAGTTTTTGTAACATTCTGAACAAAATCGTCGAGTGTTTCTCACATTACCCTCTTTTTTCAATAATTGATGTTTCAGTCTTTTTGGTCTATCTATTCTTTCGGGTTCTATGGTCCCCTCCATTCCTGCATCAACTAAATACTCCACTAACTCTCTTCTAAACTGTACTATACTTTCACTTTTATTTTTATTTTCGTTGTACATAACCCATGCATTAACAATCGCTGTATTCAATATAAGTTCTATTCCTAATTTTTTATACCACTTCACCGATTTACGTAATGGTGAGGAATATGCGGCCATTTGATCGCTCATATCAACTGCGCTTTTTATTTTGTTGTAGGCTAAAACCATTCTTGGTTTGCGAATTACTTTACCCTTTTTAGTTATTTTAGAAAATCCTTTAGAATGTTTCGTGGATAACATCAGCACGTCTCTTTTGTCCTTCCACTTCAATACGCATATTCCTCGTTCATTCTCCATAGCTATTACTTCGCCTGGTTTTAATTTGGAGTCTACTACCGCTTTCGGCAAACCTCTTCTATTTTTCCTCAAAGTACCCACCAAATGAGTGTCCTTATCGAGTAGTTCATTGGCCAGCTCCAAGCTTGTATACCAATTGTCAGTTACAAGTGTGTGACCACAGCCCAGTATGTGCTTACAAAGAGACATTACCGCTCTTGTAGGTGTGGTATTCACTAGTTCATTATTTTTGCCAGCGTACAGTTCCAATTTGCATGTATATCCTGGTAATGTACAAAGTTTAAATAACTTCATACCATATTTGTGCATCTTGCTTTTGTTATATTGTCTAAAAATGATGCGACCTCTGAAAGGCACTTGGCTTTCATCAATACAAATATCTTCCTTAGGTGCATATATATTTTTAAAAGTTTTGTTTAAACTATTTAAAAGGGGTCGTATTTTGTAAATTCTGTCAGACACATCAGCCGTATCATTATTCGTAAAGTGCAGTTTCTGCAATAGTAATTCAAATCTGTTACGGCTCATGACAGATGCAGCAAAGATTTGCCCAAAAACCCTGTCAGTACTCCAATAAAGGTTTATTTTAGGTATTTTAACAAGTCCCATATATAAGATTAATCCGAAGAACCGTTTTATCTCAACTTTTGTGGTTGCTTTCCAGTTATTTGAGCGAGACGAAGGCTTTTCACTAGGTCCTTGTTGCTCTGCAAACAAATTGGTTTGAATAGCAATTTGTTCGAAAATTTCATCTGGAACCATCAGGCTAAAATATTCTCCTGGAGCAGCATTTCGAAGTTGCGTAGTATGTGGTTCTCTCATACCTGAAATTAAACGAATATATACCTTATCATAATACGGTTTAATATACAAATATCAACATAGAAACATTACCGACCGACTGAATAAACCGACCGATATATAATGTACAAATATCAACACAGAAACATTACCGACCTAGGAATCGAACCCGGTAGCGCTCGCGGCAATTTATACCACATCGGTTTTATTTATATATAGATATCTATCGTCTATCTATCTATTACTATAATAAAATCGTAAAAAGCAACACTTTGTTACCTAAAATCTTGACAATGGTTGAACGAATCTTGATGAAATTTGATATCTTATATTCTGAAATAGAACAAACCAAAAACAAAACAAAGAAATAAAATAATATAATATACCTGTTAGTTCTGTAAACGCTATAACAGATGGTTGATGTCCTTTTGGTTGAAGCCATTTTTGTGACGTACTCGCCGTTAATCTATCAATGTTTTTATTTACAAATTTTTCCACGTCATCACATTCACTCTCAGATGCACTAGGAATAAACATACGTTTGGGTTTTTTTTTGAAGGATAGATATTATAATCTTCAATCTCTGATTCTTTATTTTCACTCAAATAATTTTTTCTAGCAATTTCATCAAAAATACTAGCTTCCAGTAACTCAATGTCGCGCAAATCATCTAATGAAATATCTATAAAATTCTCGTCTAAATCATTACTATTCTCCATGTTGAATCACAAAATCTAACAAATCTAATAAATAAAAAGCACGAATGTCCGTCACGGGCACACCGTCCAAGCGCAAACAGATGACTGCGGGGTGCGGGTGACCGGAGAAGTGCCCGGCCCGGCGCCCCGTAACGGAAATTCACATTTTTACTATCAAGGCGCCACGTAGGTCACCGGTGGCCTCATGTAGTTTTTTCGAAATAATTATTAAACGCGGCTTCTGATTGAACCCTAAATTAGATACATTTTAAAGTATTGATATTGCCCACCTATTTTCATCAAAAAGTTTTTAGTGATTTTTCTCATTTACACTACGGCAGTCAATATGATAAGGTATACTTTATATAATGTTATCTAAGTGAAAGTATATCATAATCGGTCATCGGTTCATCGATTGCCGATCTAATGTTTTACTCATTTGGTTGCTTTGATATTACTATGGATATCTCAAAATATCGCCACACTTTTTTTCTGCTCTCCAGGGCTCTCAGGCGCACAGTTCAGGGCTCAACTTAAAGATATTGAATGAGGAAAGATGAAAAATATCGTATGTACTTATTTTATTAACTCTAATAAAAAAAATGCTGCATTGTGAGTTGAAACGATTATATCTACTTAGTCATTTAGCAACGTTTTACCTTCAATAAAGACACTTAATAAAAAGAAGGAAGCAAAAAAAAATTACATCCCTACTATCAATTATATCTATACCTCTCCCTTCCTTCGTCTAAAATAATGTAGTTTTAAATTAATTATACTAAACTTGTCTAATTATTATGCTAAATAGTTTTGCTCGTGATATATAACTGTAAATCGGTAAATACTTTTACATTACCTTATTTATAGGTCTATAGAGCCTTACACACCGCAAGAGAGAATGTTATGTATTTTTTCTTACCTTATTCTCCCTATAATCGACCTCAGAACAATACAGAGTAATCTCTGCACAGGGAGGACGACTCATTGGCCCATGCCGTAAAGGAGAAAGCTGATGTGATAGGCTCTTTATTTGCGTCTAGCTCGACTCTCAATAACGGGGGGAGTACACCGCCGAACATCTCGCGGTGTGAGTGATCAATGCCGTACGTGCGGTTCACACAGCGCTCGGTTCGCAAAGCACTCCTCTCTCTGGACACCCACAAGTCGAGTGGACATGACGGAATCTCCCCAAATGTGCTAAGGACGTGTGCTCCAGAGTTGGGACTGGTTTTAACGCGTTTTTTCCGGTACTCCTACCCCCTAGACGTAGACCCAAAATCATGGAAGACGGCTTTCGTCCACCCGCTCCCTAAAAAAGGCGATCGCTCAGACGCGTCCAACTACAGGCCTATCGCCATCACCTCCTTGTTCTCCAAAACAATGGAGTCCATTGTAAACTGCCAGCTCATGAGGTACCTTGAGGATCACCAACCGATTAGTGATCGCCAGTACGGTTTTCGTCGTGGTCAATTAGCTGGTGATCTTCTGCTCTACCTGACTGATAGGTGGGTGGAAGCAGTATTGGCCGTTAGCTTGAACATTGCAAAGGCTTTCAATCGGGTTTGGCACTTCGCAAAGGCACTTGGCAAAGCGCTTCTTTCGAAGCTCTCTTCCTACGGGCTTCCAGAGAAATTGTGCAACTGGATCACCAGCTTTTTTTGCAAATTAGAACATCAAGGTCGTTGTAGACGGTGCGAGCTCCGATCACAAGCCTATTAATTCTGGCGTTCCACAAGGCTGCGCGCTATCACCAAGACTGTTTCTTCTGCATATCAATGATATGTTGCAAACCGGTAACATTCATTGCTATACGGATAACAGCACTGGTGATGCTCTGTACACCGGCCGTGCCAATATTTCTCGGAAAAACGTCTCCAAGTACCGGGACTAACTTGTGTCTGAAGTCGAGCTTTTGCTGAACAAAGTCTCGGATTGAGGGCGATGACATCTAGTCCAGTTTAACCCTCAGAAGACAAGTTTGCTCGCTAACCCCTAAAAAGAACCCCTTTGTCGTGTCTCCTCAGTATCAAGGCACACCCCTTGTTTCCTGAGCCAGTATCGGAATCCTCGGCGTCGACATATCGAGTGACGTGCAGTTTTGTGGTCACTTTTTTTTATAAAATAAGGGTGACAAACGAGTACACAGTACACCTGATAGTAAGTGGATGCTATGGCCCATAGACATTTATCTTCAAATAAGAATCAAGGTGCATGCACGTTGCCAGCCCGGAGGACTGAGATGGAATGCCTCGTTTCCAGTAAAAGGGTCTCCGATTCTCTACATTCACTATACGAACCACAACAACATTAAGCTCCTATTTTACGCTGGTAATCTGTGAAAGCGTGGTCCTACCCCGGTTGAGCCGACCCATTCGTGCTGCAACTACAATATATCTGCAGCATGGCTCTACCACGTAAAATGGCCTCTTAAAAGCGTGGCGTGCTCAGCAGAGCGGGACATTACTTCATGCCGGCACACCGCCTAAATCTTTACAAGGTTCAGGTTCGGCCGCAAATGGAATACTATTCCCATCTTTGGGCTGGGGCACCCCAGTGACGGCTCCTTCCACTTGACCGCATTCAGCGCAGAGCGGCTTGAATCGTCGACGACCGAGAGCTTTCCGATTGGCTCGATTCACTGGCGCTGCGAAGAGATGTTACATCTCTTTGCATTTTCTTTCGCATATACCACGGGTATTGCTCTGAGGAATTGTAGGGATTAATCCCTACAATTCCAAGAAAGTTGGGATTAATCCCAGCCGCCAAATTTCTTGAACGCACTACGCGGTAAACCACCCGATACCATCCACACCATCTGAATACTTGGCGCTCCATCACTGTACATTTCTTACGAGTTTTCTTCCGCGTACGACCTCTCTGTGGAAGTTTTTAAGAAGAGATCTTACTCCTTTCTAAAGGGCCGGCAAGGCACCTGCAATTCTCCTGGTGTTGCGGTTGTTCATGGGCGGCGGTAGTCACTTAACATCAGATGAACCGCATGCTCGTTTGCCCTCTCCTCTTTAAAAAAAATTACTATGATAGAGAGAGTCCTAAAATGGAACAAACTTCTTATATCTGAAATCTTTATACACAGTAGAAAATAAAATAGCTATATTATTCTCACCTTTTTTCTTTTACAAAGTGGTTACCAATTTCCATTCTATAGACAACTCTATTGATGTGCCATTAGCGAAATAAAAAGCGTTATCTATAAATTCATTTAGTCTATGACTTAGTAAAATTAGGGATTATCATTAATCCGGTTAGTGATACTTATTTTAATCAATTAAAGTTTATGGAAGCTTCATCTGACATCTTACAACAAAAACTGTGTTTGTTTAATCGACACCGGGTTCGCTTCACAAATCGTACTCAAAGGACACTGCTACAATAGACAAAATCTCAACTACTAATAAATCGATTACGAACATACTACCCGTTTTCCTTTCTGCTCCCTTAAGATATTATCCATCATTAATTAATTAATTCCAGCTTACCAAAAGTCTCCTATTAGTACAATAGGAGAATTTTGGTAAGTAAGGGGGAATATTTGCCATGTTTGTTCTCCTAGCAAGTGATTGGGCAACCGCATTTTTTTGTTATTTTGAGTTATTATCAGGAAGATACTATTGCTTATCTCATCTTTCGAAGAATTTTCGGAGAATCGTTTATCGGACGCTTGTTGTGGTGCAAAGAGTGTTTTGTGCGTAACTCTCCTTTCAGGCTTCCTGGTTTACGGCAAACCATAAATAGAGTGAAACACACCCGTCGCCTCAGAAGCGGCCATCTAGTTTAATTTGCGTGTTGCTTCTTGTTGCATTAGGCAACAGCTAGGTACACACCCTAGCGTACCAACGCGCTAGGTATATAGGCGTTTATTTTAGGCACACACCTCCCCCCTCCGAAAAGTAGGGGGAGCTTGGTACACATCTGAGTTAACTGTGTTAGCATAGGGCAAAATGGCGTCGTTTTCAAACGACGAACTCGCCGATTTCCTACGTCAAGTCTTCCCGACATTTGGTCTGCGTTCCTAAGACAGCGCAGGGATAAGCCGATAAGTCGTTTTAGCCTTTATGATGCTCATGCTGCTGTTCACAAGGTTAGATTGAAGCGTCCCCCTGCCCCTTGGATGACAGAAGGCGTAGGGATGGCAATGGCTAGACGAAATCGTGCTTTTCTTTGTTTCAAGAGAGATCGAACTGAAGAAAATTGGATATCTTTTAAAGCAGCCAGGTTTATGTGTAATCATATGGTACGTGCAGCTAAACGCCGATATTTCCATAAATGTTTTAATAATTCTTCTCCAGTTGTAGTGTGGAAATTCCTAAAATCTTTCGGTCTTTGTAGACCAGCTTTGGATTGTGGTCCTTCTCTGTCACTTGATGAAATCAACCAACATTTCGCTTCTGTAAAAGCACTGGACCCTACAATTCGTTCCCAAACTATGGCTTCCATTGCTTCTATGCAAATTCCTAACATTCCTATCTTAAATTTTTCTCCTGTTTCTCAGGATGATATCAAAAAGTCGATTTTAGCAATCCAGTCCAATGTCGTGGGTTACGACGAGATTAGTAGACATATGGTAGGATTTATACTAGAGCACCTTCTCCCGACAATTTCAATTTTTCCCGTGGTTCAGATCAGTATACTAATCTTTGGAAGAGGGCTTTTGTAACGCCTTTCCCTAAAGTTCCTACTCCCATTCTTTCCAATCATTTTAGTCCAATATCCATTCTACCCTTTTATTCCAAAATTTTAGAATCCTGTGTTTACAAACAAATTTCTACTTTTGTTTCGAAACATAACCTACTGAGTATATATCAGTCTGGGTTTCGTCCTGGTCATAGTACTACTACTGCATTAATTAATGTTATTATATAATAATTAAAATATTAAATAGATGTATATATTATAAACAAGGCATCGAAGAAAAGAAAATAACAGTACTGGTACTAGTTGATTTCTCAAATGCTTTCAACACAGTTGATCATGAAATCCTTCTTTCCATACTGTCTTATCTG